AGAAGGAACTTGGTTTGTGAAACTGCGGTGCAGTTTCCTGGTTTCCTATGGCTGCTGGTGCTGTTGTGCTGCAGCGAGAAAGGCATGGATGTGTCACAACTACTTCCAGGCTCTGCCTGCCACACTGGGCAGGATTCTCATGTGCTGACGCAGCTCTTACTTAACCTCCACCAGGAACCCGCACTGTGGGCACTATTCCTGTCCTTCCTTTCAGCCTGTTTCCCCCATACATTGTAACATGCCCACCTTCACATGCACTGATATGTGGGTATCTCAGGCACACTTGTGTGTTGAGAAGAAACTTTGTTGCATCACAGATGTTCAACTAGTTGTAGATTTGAGAGATATAAAGGGGTCCCACTCCACCATGATGCTGATATCACCTCCAACTGTTAACTGGCTGTAGCTTGAAAGAGGTCTTCACTGAATGGGAAGTCTTGTGGTCAATCATTAGAAACCGAGAAACAGAAGTGGAGGGCTGCTGCTCTTGGTCCATACTCGGAAAGATGGAGATGTGTGATGCTGGGGACCAAAGATGGTGCCCAGGAAGGAGACGGTGACCTGAGATTTCTTCTTCCAGGTCTCACTCTGGGTAGGATGGGTTCTGCCTGCCTGAAGTGTAAATTTCACCACCAGCCCTGTGTTTCAGTTATAGCATCCTGGTGTTTCTTTCTCTGGTGCTCTTAGTACTGAGTATAAGGGAGAAAACCATTTTCCTTTGTGGTCCAATACCCATCCCTCTTCCACAGTCAATAGAAATGACAGTGGAGGGCTGATCTTCTACAGGGGAAAGTCCCTTTCTGGACCACAGCTGAATCTGCCCACCAGGCCAAACTAGGACTGGCCTTCTAATCTAGTGCTAATCTCTTCACAGATGGGTAAAAACCACAATACCTATTTGAAAGCAGTGCAGCTTATAGTGTGATGTTTAGCATGGATTCAAGTCCCCTGTACAATCTACCTAGTTGTTAAAAGGGTGATATTTTATTGGTCTTTGCTTACATTGCCTTGCAGTCAAGAGACCTTAAGTCAATGTACCTCAAAGAATGATAAGCAAAACACCTACATATCACAATCGCCTGATGGGTAGGGTGTGCTTATTAAAATTCCGTGATATTCCCAGGCTCAATAACCTCCATTTTAAATATTCTTTACTCTCTGAGTATCCCAATCAGTAAAAGTGACAAAGAATTTTAGATATGCATATTCTATAAAATGAAATGTTAAGATCTGAAAATTGAAATCTATTGACCTGCTAATTATTTACCAGCATTATCATCTCTATCACTAAAGAAAAACACATACTTACATTTTTTGTGCCTTTTAATGTCCAGTTCATCTCTTGCTTTTTAATACACATATTAATAAATCACACACAAACCTTTTGAACTGCAAACGAAATATATTCTTGATGTCGAGTTGTTGAAAGCCTTTGCTATTTCCATGATTCTTTTAAAATAAAACCTAAATATATGTGAAAAAAAATAACAGAAAACAAGGGCCTCTAACAGCTTTATTAGCTGCGATAATATGCATTATTTGTAATTATATGTTATAAATTATAAAGTACATATAACATAATTATAACAAAAAAATTTAGTTTTGAAAAACGTTTTATTTCGAGAATTACATAATTTCAAATATCTTCCAAAATAGTTTCCTAGATTGCTACAAAAGAAAGCAAATTCAATAAGAAATTTAAATCATTAAATATGTTTCACTAGTATATACATACATAATGACAAGCAATTAACATTTAGCCCTGGAATGCGTACCATGTCTTTTGTTTTTCCTTAATAAAGGCTCAATCCAGCACTTTGTATAAGCTATGTACAACAGGCAAAGTTCAGTAAGATCGTAAGAGTTTGACATTAGCTGCCTCAATTTATAACTGTGGCAGTTTGTCCACAGGGGTGTCAAATTTGAAGTCTGTAGGAAACAGATCTGGGGCCCGAGGATAGATTAGTCTGTAGGACTGTCTGATTGTAACATCCGCAACACCAGCAATATCTCCAATTTCTAAAAGACAAAAAAAATCAAAATATTAAGTATAACTTCTAGCCTATCTACTTTCTACTGCCTTAATTTCAATCTGTGAGATATGGTTATGTAAAATGCCAAAGTGAAAAACAAAATAAAAAATATTGATTTTTAAAAACTGATAATGGAGTTACATACTAAAAGTGGAAAGCAGAGCTAAATTAATAATAATGGTAGAGTATTTATAACCCCAAAGGGTTGTCATATTAAAAGTTTTATTGTGAGTAAAACGTTTGAACAGTTCTCAGGACATAGCATTATGAGTGATAACCATTATATTGTATTTGAACTGACTTCTTTTTCTTCACAAGAAATCTTTTTAAGGATCATAGAAGTAATCCATAAATGCATTCATATGAAGAAACTCACTTTATTATTCCTGTGTTTAAAAGTTTCCCTCGCTAACTTCTATTTAAAAAGCTAAAACCAAAATGGGATCATAGTACATTGTTCTATAGTTTTCTACCTAATACGTCTGAGATCAAACAGCTATATATTTTAGCATAATGTAGATGTTTTTCACTATTACAAACATACACGTGAGCATATATATTGAGCTCGCATGAGGATTTTTCTACAATCCATTACAGAATCCTAGGACTGGATCTAATTTAACCCTTCAAAGTAATTGTCACTTTTTTCTTTTTTATTAGAAGAAGTCCCAAAGGACTACCACTTGACAATTATTTGGTTATAAATAATTAAAATGGATTTTTAAAATACACCCTTTAATACAAACTCATTTTACCACCTTTTCAGTTAATTCAAATAAGTGAGGTTTTACAGATTTTCACTGTGGATGGCTGCCATCAGTGTGCAATTAACTTATTTTAAGTTTCGTACCATGTGGTATTAGGTTATTCTAGACATACATACTGATGAATGTCAACTATGTGAGTATCAACTGGCTCCTGGGCAGGGAAGAAAAAGGTCTTAAATTTCAATGAAACCTTTCATGTAAAACAGAAGCAGCAGAAAGTGTCAAGATAACTATTTTTGTGTTGTTAATAAGAATAAACTTTACAAGTAGGAATTGAGGACCCTCTGTGCCTTGCTTCAGCTTCTAAATTCTATCAGATCGATATCTCCTTAATATAAATAGCGACAAAAGGGCATGGATAATGGCACATTTAAATAACTAAACTAATGCTGGCTGGTTTCTTTCTAACCACTCTTTTATATAATTTCTTACTTTTACTAATATAGAAACTTAACAGCCTAAGCTGAGGTGAAAGGCTGTTCTGAATAGGGTATTACAAAGTTATTGCAGCAAATAATTTCACTATCACACTCAGAAATTTAGAATTGACTGCTTTTTTCTTTACTATCTTTTTGAGGATCACAGAAGTAATAAATTCATGCTTATAAAGAAATTCACTTAATATTATTGTTTGAAAGTTCCCCCAACAACACTAAATTCAAACATGGCTTTGGAAAGATGAACTACTTATGCCACTATTTTTTATTAAGAAACCATGAATACTGTATAAAATACAGAATGTTAAAGCTTGATGACCAACATATATTGCCAAGCAGTGAGAAACAAAGCATAGCCCCCTCCTCTCAAGATTTAAAAAGTTTAGTTTCCAGGGTGAAAAAAAAAAAAACTTTCACAAGAGTGTGTCTGTATATTGTGTGTGTGTGTGTGGAAGGGGGTGGTGGTGGTGGTGGTGGTGGTGGTGGTGGTGGTAAAAACGTCTAAAAATAAAAAACGTACAAACTAAAATAATTTAATATTAATAGAAAAAGAGATAAGTCAGTATACAGCGTTATACCCTCCAAACATTTTTATATTTGAGCCACTTAAAAGGAAAATACTATATTTTCTTAAGTTTTGATGCTAAGAAACTATCTCTTAAATGTGGGTTCTGAATATTTACCTGCTTCATATTTAAAATGGAAATACAATTACACACTACAGCTATCACACTTTAATCACTCTTCTTGACAAGGAATCCTACCTTTCTGGGTCCTCTTCTCAGCTGATGCCTGTGAGGCCATGTAAATGGCTGCTGCTGCCACAGATATTGGGCTCCTTCCAGGAACCAAGTCTAATTCCACAGCTTTACGGGCTATATGTGTAGCTGCCATTTGTACTTGTTTAGGAAGACAAAGGTTCGAACAAAACCTGGACATGAAGTCCCCAGTTGTAATCAAATCTACACTGGTTTCTAAAGCTTTCAAAATAAGCTTAAAACATCGACCAATTTCTTTCTTAGAAATTCGTGATACGGCACATATTTCTAAAACACACAAAAAAAATTAAGTAAATAAATACACATAAGTCATACAGTTCATTTTAAAAACTATCATTTTTGATTATAAACTATATTCCAACTGCAAAAAATTCAATCATGCCTTACAGATGAACCCCTATTCCTGTCTGTGATACTTCCCATAGAGCTAATTTAAAATTTCTTTTAATTTAAATGTTCACCACACTTTAAAGAACTTTTTCCCCTACAAAGGTTAAATGTAGGTCTTATTTCAAAATATTAACTTCTCTGAAGTTTCAATTTATTCAAATAATTTTCTTCAACTAATCAAAAACTTTTGATATTTACATATTAATCTGCTATAAAGACTAAATTAAGGAGATGAAAAAAATGCTAAAGAATGGTTGCCAATCTACACAATGTCATATTGTACATGCAATCCCTGTGATTACTGGCTACAGTGAAATGACATCACATATGGCCTTGTTAGTCTAAAAATTGAACTACCAAACACTTTCAGAATAAATTTAACAAAAGCCTTATTTTAGTTGTAAGAATGAAAAAAGATGATAAAGGTCACTGCCTCTTTACACTGACATAAAAATAAAAACATAACAAATAAATATTCATGGATGATGACTTAAAGAGTAATTATAGTGTTAACCTAAAATGAACTTTGGCAGTTAAAATCAGTGTAAGTATCACAGCAATACTGAATAGGTTTTCACTTATTCATGGGTAAACTGCAAACTAGATGAAAAATACTAGTTTCCTTAAAGCCTCCAACTTAAGTGGGAAAGTGTAAACTGTATAACTCAAGAGAAAAAGTTTCCCTGATGGCTTTCTACGGCTCGATTCCCTCACCTGTAGAGACCTGTGCTAGGAGCAGAAACTGTTTTCCATTCATCAAGTGCAGACTTTCTACAAAGGCCTCCTCTTAGGCTTATAATACCAGGTCTTAAAGCCCACAAAATAGCATCGGACAGAAGATCTTACTAGCAAAGAATGCAGGGCTTACATGGACTAAAATGACTTTACATGGGAAAACAGCCTGAAAAGAACATGTCCAATAAGATCACAGAATGAATTATCATTAAGTCGAGGAACAAAATAAGTAGGCATTTGGAAATGATACTAAAGTAGATTACTGTATGTAGCCATGAAGACATGACATAGCTACTTAGTGTCAAAGCTGCTTAACTTTGGTATGTTACTTAATATCACACAGATAACATTTTTATCTATGCGACTAAAAACTTACCTTTAAATGTCCTAGGAACCCCTTCTTGTCTACAGGCAATGTAGAGACAAGCAGAAGCTATGGCATCGTTAGCTCTTCCCTTCAGGCTCTTCTGTTCATATACTTGCTTGAATAAATTATTTGTACGATCCTTCAAAACAGAGAAACTGACTTTAACTCTAGGCCATTTAATTAGTTACAGTATCAAAATTTCATGTGTTCATTAAATTCGCTAAGGCAATGCCAAAATGGCTTAAAAGAGATAGAGAGGAACTTACAACTATATTTCTAGGGAGGTTGATTCTGTCTGCCATGGTAGTAATTTCCTTGAATGCATTCATCATTGCCCGATCAGAACTACTCATTGTTCTCCGATTCTGGTACTTAGAATTGCCAAATTCATCAAAACTTGCAGCTCCTGTACCCTATAAAACAAAATTTTATTACTTTATACAAAAGATTTTGAAACTTAAATGAACAATTTCTAAGAAAACATAACTTATACAATCTGACTCCATATGCCTAAGAAACCTACTTTGTGCATCCTCCCTATTCCTCAATAGAAAGAGTACCAGGTGAAATGGTTTTAAAGATGTTTTCTATCAAATACTTTAAATGAGAATATGTATTATTTGAGAATCTAATAATATATTATCATATGAACAGACCTAAGGTAAAACCTCAAATGATCATCTCCAAAGGTGTTAAAAAAGGCAAGTCCATGAAATTCAAAATCCATTTTTGGATAAAATCTCACAAAACACTACAAATGAATACTTCATATTAGAAAATCACTCTCCCAGGCCCAAGGCCAGCACAATGATGAAGAAACATCTGCATCATTAAAGTCAGAAGACAAAGGCCCCTCTGACCACTAACATTTCGTAACACTGTACTAAAAAACTAGCCAATAGAATATAATTGTATAACATAATTATATGTTATATTAGTATAATCATATTAAAATTAGGCAAGAAAAATTAGAAATACAAATCTGGGGAGGAAATGATAAACTGCAGAGAGTATCTTTGTTTACTTCGAATACTTCAGAAAATCACTGAAAAACTGCTATAAATAAGAGAATTCATTAAAGTGGCAGATAAAAGTTAACAGAAATCAATAGTTTTATATGTGTAATCAGCCAGTTAGAAGACAATTACAAGAGCAACAAAAAAGATAAAATATCTAAGGAATAAACTTAAGAAACATGCAAGACCTTCATGAAAAAAAAAAAAAAACAACTTCAAAACATCTCCTTGAAGGGCACATAAGATCTAAAGAAATAAAAAGACACGTTGTTTTTGGATAGGAAGATGTACTATGAAGACACCGATCTTGCCTCAGTCAATTTACAAATAAATCTAACCAAAATCTCAGTAAAATAACTGTTTTTTTTTTTTTTTTTTTTTAATGAAACAAAGTGATCCTTTAAAGTGGAAGGCTAGTGAAGAAAATGCTGAAAAATAAGAGCAAAGAACTAATGCTACTGGATATTAAAACAGTGTGGTACAGCATTTGACTAACTAAACCAGGATAGAGAATGGATAGGAAGTCTGAAATATTCTCAAATACATATGTTTAGTACAGGTGACCCTTGAACAACACAGGTTTGAACTGTGCAGATTCACTTATACATGGATTTTTTTTCCAACATGTACAGTGCTGTAAATGCATCTTATGATTTTCTAACCACTATTTTCTCTAGCTTGCTTTAAGAATACAGTATATAATACATAAACATACAAAATATGTGTTAATTGAATGTTTTACGTTTTTGGTAAGGCTTTCGGTCAAGAGAAGGCTATTAGTAATTAATATTTTGGGAAATCGAAAGTTATACATGGATTTTCAACTGCACAAGGGGTCAGCGTTCCTAATTCCTGAATTGTTCAATAGTCAACTATATGTAATAAATGTAGCATTTACAATAAAAATATTTCTTTTTTTCTATGTAGGTATAAAAACACTTTCAAAGGACACAGGAGAAACTAATAATAGCGGTTACTTGTTTTTGACAGGGAAAGGGGGTTACAGTGGGAACTGAATTTGGGGGTCATCGATGAGGAAAATTTACTGTGTCCTTTTTACATTTTTGTTTTTGAATCATGTTATTTCCTATTGAAAAAATTAAACATTAAAAAAAATGTTGCACTGTCAATGAGTTGCAATCTTCCATCTTAAAATGTCCTTCATGTACGTTTTTTTCCAGCCTGTACTGCTAAAGCAAATGCAGAAATCACCTAAAGATATTTCTAAATTCTGTAAACTTTTTAACCTACTCTATGCCATGTTTTTGAAATCTGATATGTAATTTAAAGAGCATAAAAAATGAATTTTTTCACAATACTTTATTAAAAACAGACTATGCAGTAGTATAGATAAAGTACTAAAATAACATACATTTCTTTGATTAGTCCTTTGGCTATTGCCAGTACTATTTCCAATTCAGATTATCAGAGCAAAAAGAAGAACCAAGATGCTAGGAAGATTACACTACTGCCTTATATAACAGCAGCAGCTACTACTAATTAAACACATACCGCATACCATATGTTATACTTTCCCATGTAATCCTCAAAATCTTTATGATGTACTATTATTCTCACCTTACTGATGAGAAATGAGAAGCTTAGTTGTAATAAATCCACCCTCCCTCCAATATTAGGAAATGGGCTATAAATGAGCCCAACTTAGATAGCATGGAGGGAAAAGAGAAATTACTAATATTCTCAGAACATAACCAATATAAACTCATAAAGACCATACTATATTCAACTTAATTTTTATACAAAATTTGCTTCATAAAAACAAGGGCTTGAGATATAAAGACTATAATTTTGATGTTGGTCTCCCCTTTAAGATGGAATTAATTCATAAGACACCTGTCATTCACAATGTTATTACTGGCAAATCCTACTCTCAGGTCAACAATCCTCACTGGGGTAATGACTGATACTTTTGCAGAGTTCTCAAATTCCCAGGTTTGGTCTGTCCTCACTTGATATTACCTTGCCAATCATGGTAGACAAACCTCCGTCACTCAGAAGAGGATTCTGAGAATCTCCAACTCGAGATGGATCTTTTGTTGCTTTATCATTGCTGAAAGTTCTCCATTCGGATCCTACATCAATAACCCGGTCACCTAAAAATATAAGCACAAATCGAAATAGTCTTGTCAAGACAGGGTTTACTTAACATTGTCTAATGCCCAACTCAACCCTTTTATTTCCAGGAAATCTCAGCACTGACAGCTAGACTCCAGCTTAATTATTATGTCTCAGACATCTGTCTTAAAGCATTCTTCTAATTACTGTGCCAGTCCAATAACAACACTATGCTACAATTAGTCATATTCTATCTCCTGGGGGAAAAAGATTTAGTCAAAGACAAATAGCAAAGTCTATTCATATGCGATGCAAAGATAAAATGATTCTGAACAACGGTTTGCACAAAATGCACAACAGGCAAGGAAAAAAACCAGAAAACTCTGTTCACAATAGTAATAATACACGGTTTAATATTAAAAAACCCACAAGTTACCATGGGAAGTGCTCTGCTTATATTCTAGTAACTAACTGATGAAAAAATATTTTTGGCCAAATAATTTTTAGGTCTACAATCGGTGAGAAGAAAGCCAGGTAGGCAAAGAGGTTGTGGCTATGTATGTCATGCCGAAAAACCAGACATGAATAGATCTGGCTGATTACTGCTTTGGGGGGAATGCTCAATGGCTAGTGGACAAGAATTAACATTGAACACATGCATATGCTAGTCACTGTGCCCTTTATAAATATAAATGTTCTCTTTCAAAAGTAGTATCACTTTTATTACCACTTTAGAAATAAGATTAATTTGCCTAAGATTATACAGCTAGAACTGAAATGTGCATCAGATTCTACAGTCTGTCCTATACTGCATTTGTAAAACATGAGATTTTCCACCAAGGTGTGATAAGGTTAAAGCAGAACCCAGATTTTCATCTTTGCCTATACACAACAAATAGAAAGGAAAAATGAATGGCAGATACCAGAAGTTCTGGTACTGACAGTCAATAAAATGTTTAAGAGTGTGGACTCTACCATTTGCTGCTTAGCCTTGGACAATTTATTTCATTTCTGTGGCTTCCCTTTATTATCTTTAAATTCCCCCTGATAACCGCACATTTAAAAAATTGTAAAGATTAAATAGTAAGCTGATACAGGTATAGTGCTTAAAAAACAATTCAAATTAGTACTCGTTGTTAGCTATTTGCTGCCATGAAAATAAAGATAGCAGATGTTCTGACATTTCCCTCCTTTTGATAGGGGGAATAAGAAGAGACACCAGTTATAAACATTAATCTCCATGTTAGATTTTAAAAGTATTAGGGTACTCTACTGAAGGTATCTGGCCAGTTGGACAGCAAATGAGGTAAATAAAGAACAGAAGGAAGAAACTCCATGTACACTGTGCTAAATCTTCTAAACCATATTTTATATGGTACATTAATCAAAATGCATACAGAGTATAGTGATCATGATCTAATCTTAGTGTTATAAATAAGAAATTAGATAGATGCACAACAGAATGATTCATTCCTGATGGTTTTGGAAAAATTCATGTTTCTTTGAACACCTGAGTCACGTGGGAGTAAATGTATCATTTGACTATCATGTGTCCGTGCCACAGGATAACTGAGACTAGAGGTAGGCTCCGATCTGCCATATCCTTATACAACGACAGTGGCCAAGGAAAGGCAATTTCAGCAGATTAGATAGAGACTGACTGAGCAAGTGGCTTAAAATAAGGAGAAAATAAGGTTAAATGGATGGGACTTCCATGATAGATTTCTCTGCTCTCTCTTCATAATAACAAATATCATTCAGTTTTGGAAGCAATTCTAATTATATAAAGATTTCAAACCTTACCTGAAAACATAAAATCTGTAATTGCACTGAAGCCCTACTACAATACTAAACAAGGCGCATGTCTCAAAGAAACCACACTAAAGAGATTGATTTGTCTTCTTTTTTATAAAAGAATACCTGCTTACTAAAAAAAAAAAAAGACACATAAGCAAAATCTGTATTCTCAACATCCAGAAACAGCCACTGTATACATTTTGCAATATATTCTTTCTGCCTTTTTCAATCATGTGTATAAGTATTATTTTTCCTAAAATTAAAATGAGATCATATTGTGCCTGTTCCATAAGCTCTTTTTCACTAAATTTCTATCATAAACACCAGAACAAGATTTTTATACAAAGTTTAACCCCTTTAATAACATCCACTGATTAAAGTGATACCATGTCTCTACACACTTATGTTTTTAAAGAGAAGAAAGTGAATCTAACTTTTTCACTGTCAGCAAAATAAAAACACAAACATGCATAAAACAAAAAACTACTGCAGCCTTCAAATTTGCAGTTACTTGCTAAATTACAAGTTCAAAATAATCAAATGTCATCATTAACTTGTAATATTTTAATTAACATAATGAATGTATTAAGAGAACAGTGCAAATGAAAAGGCAGGTAGGTATGCTCACATTTTTTAAGTTTCTAGAAATCTAAAAATAGATAAAGTATTACTTAGCCAACATGCCTCATTTCATAGCATTTTCCTTTTGGTCCCAAAGTAACTCACTATGAGTTTCTTTTACTGCTTGCTTTATAATGTCTTAAAAAAGACAAGATGGATTGGGGGGGCGGGGCGCAGAATCTGGCTAGGATATCATAAATAGAAAACTCAAACTGAGTAGTGATGTAAATTTTCCACAAACGTGGGAATGATCTACATGACTCATTCAACAATCACTGGTTTGTGCTAAGAGCCATTACCTCTTTTTATATTTTATAGCTCAAAATAACACTTATAAAAAATAAAATTTCCAAAATAACTCAAATGACACATCATGAAACTACAACTAGAACATTAAAGGGCATAAGTAACAAGAAATAGGCTAGACCACTCAGGAAAAAAAGTCGGAATACATAAAGGATTTTCCTTTGAAGGAAATCTAAGTGAGGTAGCATTTTAAATGTTGGTCCGAAAAGAAACTACAATACAGAATCTTTTTAAGGGATAAGTATACAAAAGGCAAGCCACATGTTTGGGTATAATCAACTTTTGACAAGGAAGAAACCTGACAATTAGCATGTGTATACACATGCCCACAATCTCACACATCCTTTAACATTCTAGAAGCAGAGAAACATAGATTTAAGGGGAAAAACAAAGGGGTCTCTCACTCCACCATGATGCTGACATCACCTCCAAATGTTCTATAAGGTGCATGTACTGACCTTTGATAACTGCAAAAATTAACTACTTTAAGATCTAGTTAACTGGCTGTAACTTAAAAGAGAAAGTCTTTACTGAATGGGAAGTTTCGTGGTCAATCATTAGAAACCGAGAAACAGAAGTGGAGGGCTGCTGCTCTTGGTCCATACTTGGAAAGATGGAGATGTGTGATGCTGGGGACCAAAGATGGTGCCCAGGAAGGAGACAGTGACCTGAGATTTCTTCTTCCAGGTCTCACTCTGGGTAGGATGGGTTCTGCCTGCCTGGAGTGTAAATTTCACCACCAGCCTCGTGATCTTGTTTCAGTTATAGCATCCTGGTGTTTCTTTCTCTGGTGCTCTTAGTACTGAGTATAAGGGAGAAAACCATTTTCCTTTGTGGTCCAATACCCATCCCTCTTCCACAGTCAATAGAAATGACAGTGGAGGTCTAATCTTCTAGAGGGGAAAGTCCCTTTCTGGACCACAGTCCAAATCTGCCCACCAGGCCACAGTAAAAGACTGTCAACTTTACCAGTACCTTTGTTAACCATACACAGATTTTTATAAAATTAAAGCCTGAAAGAAAGTCTATATATGAAGGTTTATAATTGCTAAAATAACACTGCTGTAACACATGTAATAGCACTACTCCTATGATCTCTCACACTTAGATCAAGTTAACCATCCGGAAAAGCAAACACACCTAATATGTACATTTATGTATTACACACACGTACTGTTTTCAATCCATATATTATAGTGGTAGGCCTAGAGAGTATTAACTAAGACATTTTATCATATTCTAAAGAGAGAGTTTCATCTCTTTTATCAAGAAGAAATTGAAAATAATTGTCAAAATCATTCACACCAGTTTAAAATGGTTCGACTACTTTGGCACCACTTACCTACAAAAATCTCATACAAGAATGTTCATAGCAGCATTATTCATATTAGCTAAAAATTGGAAAATACCCAAATGTCCATCAACAGGAAAATGTATACAATGGAATACTATTCAACAAATAATCTACCACTACATTTCAAAAAACACTCTTTTAAGCCAAAAAAAAGTCACAAAAAAGAACATACTCTCTGATTTCATTTATAAGAAGTTCAAAAAACAGGCAAAATAATCTGAAGACAGAAATCAGTACAGTGGTTGCTGTTGAACAGGGGTGGGAGATACAGGTGATTGATTACAAAGAGGCATAAGGAAACTTTTGAGGTGAAGGAAATGGTCTAAACACATGAGTTGGTTACACCAGCATAAGCAATGTCACAATTCAAATGGTAGATGTGAGCACTGTGTATTTTACTGAATGCGATTATAACTCAATAAATTAAAAAATTAAAATTATACATACCAAAATACCATTGGTTTTTAATTAAACTGCACCAAACCTATATATCATTTTGAAAATGACAGAACAATTTTTATCAATCTTCTTGGACAAGGTAATATATTCTCAAGGTCTTCTTTCAAATTATATATATTTCACATTTAAGATTAGACCTAATTTTTTTATTAAAAATCTCATTTTCTAACTAGTAATTGCTATAATATTTTATATGCTTAGATTCAGCCACTTTTAATAGACTATTAATTTTTAAAATCTGATCTAAATATTCTAGATATAGAATCCCATCAGTGGCAAAAAAACTTGTTCCCTTTCCAAGCTTAACTCTCATTTCTATTTTCTATCTAAAGCACCTGTCAGAACTTTCAAAACAGTGCCTTTGATTTAATACAGAATGTCTCCGATATTCAACATTATGCATAAAAGTAACAGGTGAACTGAAAAGTCTTCTATTAAAGCATCTAATTCGGAGCATCTTATATTAGGAATAAATGTTGAGTTTATTAAATGTCTGTCATC